GCACCTGTTTCTTCCTCTGCGGCTGTCTGGCGAATCACCTCCCCGCTTCCCCCAACACACCTGATTCTTTCCCAGCATTCCTATCTCTGCCTGTCAGGCCTGCTTATTCTCTCCTGCTTTGCTATAGGCCATTCAGCTCTTTATTAGACCATTCAGAAGGTGCTGGAGGGAGAGATTACAAAATATGATGCATTTATAAGAATAACAATACCGAAGTCCAGCCTGTATTCAGCTCTCTGCTGGCACAGAAATCAGCACTTGAATAATGCTAAGACTACCTTTGCACAGCACACAAAAAGATCATCCCAACACTCAGTGTCTGACTTAGTTTTGTATTTATCCTAGCCTATTGTCCAGTTCGTCCTGTATGTCCTACAGGAAGATCAGATGTGGTATGTTTAAAAAAAAAAAAAAAAAGCCCCAGAGCTGGAGAGACAGCTCAGTAGTTAAGAGCACTGACTGCTTTTCTAAAGGACCCAGGTTCCATTTCTAGTACTACCTGATGGCTGACTACTGTCTGTAACTCAAGTTCTGGGGATTTGACACCCTCTTTGGCCAGGCATATATGTGAGACACAGACACACATGCAGGTAAATAATAAAAAATTAAATTAAATTTAAAAAATAAAGAGAATTTCTCATCTCACCTTCTTTCAACCTCTTTTCCCAAGCTGCTTGTCCTAAATTCCTATCAAAAGACCATCATCCTTTGAACCTTCCACAAACTTTCTGGATACAAACATTTTTAATTCCTCTCATCCTTCCTTCCTACGTGGGGAGCTAGTCTTCTTGGTGTTTGCTTTTGTTGTTGTTTTTAACATTCAGCTTTCCATTGCTCTCTAGTTAGTAACCTCGAAACCCTACTCTGATCATTTCACAGTCTTGTTCAAAGATGTCACCGAGCTCTATGCCCAACCATTCAGACATATGCTTAATTTAAGGCACTTGTAGGTGCGTGAAGCCTGTCTCTCAGACTTGCTGACCACAAAGCTCACCTTCTTCTGTTGAGTCAGTTCTTAAAAGTACTTTCCTACAGTTCATGCAGTAGGCTGAGACACCCCAGTGACATCATCCTTCAAGTGAAAATGAGCTGGGGAGGTGGGGGCTTGCTCAGAAGGCCAAGCACCACTAACTGGATGGGAGCAAACGTGCATGCAAAGCCCAGGACACTGCCCATAAAGCTGGGCATAAAAACCTTCTCTTTTTTAAATTTAGTTTTTATTTTGAGGAATTTTATACCTAACCGCTGTTTTTCCATCATCTCCATCCCTCCCCTTCTCCTTTCCCCTCTTTCTATACCTGTTTCCCCTGAGACTCTCTCAAAACCATCACTTTGTCTTTAATTATTATTGCTACGTATAGATGGATAACATATAGTATAATAAGTGTATGCACACACGTCTGCATATATAAAGGTAACCTGCTGAGTGCCCCTCACGTTGCTAGTATGTAGCTGTGTCTGTGGCTAACACTGGGGACTGGAGCCTATGGGGGCTCATCCCTGGAGAAGATGGAGCTTCCCTCTCACGGCTGCCTGTAGCTCTTCCCTCAGAGCTTTCTTGAAACGTGGCGCCCTGGTCCACCCTGCCTCCTTCTTCTCCCTATCTGCTGTTTCAAATCTTATTACAAGTCATTCCCATGTCATGTCTTCAGCCCCACCCTGCATACACAGAATTTAAAGCCTGGGAGTTTCTGGCCTATGTCGAGTGCCTCTGTGTCTATTAGGAGTGATACCAGCTTCATAACAAGTACTCAACGCATACCTAGACCTTTCTTAATGGCCAGGCATCTCGCATACTCTGCTTTATTTTATTTCATTTTGGGGTCAAGGGTACTGTGTCTTGTCTATGGAAGAGGAGGAAACCTTGAGGTCTACCATTTAGTCACTCCTGCTGTGTCCAGCGCTTTTGGCTTTCACTGGCTTCTGGTGCCACTAACCGTGTGACTGCAGGGATGTATACAACTCAAGGATGTTCTGAGCAATCATGAACTCATTCCCCACACCCAATTCCTTATTTTTAAAGAGCGACTTAACTTAGGCAAACTTAACGCGGGATTTGTTTGTGAAGTTATTACTTTAATTGAATCTGGCCCTTTCTTATACAAACTGGCTGGCATCCCTTACCTGGCTCTTACGTTAGTGTAAATAATTGTATTTAAGATTAAGGAAAAAGGAAAAATAGAAGGAGGCAAGCTGGTCTTTCAGCTTTGCACAAATGCAAACAAGTTCACTCACAGTCACTCCTGATGCATTTCTGTAGCATAAAACATTTTTTTCTCGGCAAGAGTGTTCTTGCCTTTGATTCTAATGGTATAAGCTGTTGAACATCTCTGAACTAAGATTCACATACCACGGGGTCCATCCTGTAGAAGCTTCTACTTTCTGCCTGGCATGGCAGTGATTCCAGGGAGACACCATTTTAATGAAGCCACCATGTGGATTGTCACACAAAGGCAGACCATGGATTCAGCTTCAACATCCCTGCACGTACTCCAAAGACTGAGGGAAATAGGCTCAGTGTTGAATTAAGCCTTTTGGTAAGGGACCAGCACTGCAGTATTTCATTGTTAACTTGGGATACGACAGAACACTGAAGATGCTGGTGAAGATGAGTAGGATGTCTGCATATTCCTGAACTCAGCTCCATCACCAACACATAACTTCCAAATGCCAGGAAGTTTAGCTGTTTCCTAGCGATGCAACACAGATCTTAATGCTATGCTCCTATGGCTAAAATTAATCGGCTCGGAGAGACTCTTGGTCCAGTAGAGATTTTCAGGTATTTGCCCAGAAGAGGGGTCCCTTCCATCCTCACCTCTGTCTTCCATTCGCTAGACACAAAATGCTACTATTTTATAATGTCACAGAGGGGCAATCTTGTTTTAGAAGATTCTGTGTCCCCTGAGTTAGAAAAGTACAAGAACTTCATTTCCTCATTTGGGAGCAGTCAGCTACTGAACGCCTCATCCGTTGTGCCCATTTGCATGAGCATGGCACTGGGGCGTTTTACTGTTGTTGTTTGCCTGTCTGGATGTCTTCAAAAGTCTAGCATGGAACGCATAAAGCATCTCTCATCTGCCTGTGACTCTTCACATGTTCCTCTTTTCCTGGCATAGAATCATGGACCCCCACAGTGGCCTAGTTAAAGTATTTTCCTTCATATCGAATAATATATGTATTATATGCATAATTTTAACGTATGTCAGCACCAAACTAAGCTTCCATGGGGCAGATGATAAAGACAACAAGAAATTCAGAACTGTCGAGCAAAGAGCAAACTTCCAGGTTCTAAGTGCAGCTGTCAGTCTTAAGAAGGGGTGAATCATAACAGTGTTGAAAAAATCAGATCTTCTGAGTACTGTTTGGGGAAATGCCTGCCACTAGACATCATCATTTGAGTATTGTAAGAGGACACTATCAGGTAAACATTTAAGCCACGCTTACGTGAGTTCTTACTGAGCTGAATACCATGTGGATGTCTGACCTTGAACCCTGTGGTGAGTACAAACCCTGCTGGACTGTGTTCTCTCTACCGGTTTAGAGGAGCCAGGGCAAATTCCTTCCTTGCAGGTCGAAGAAATTTCATAACAGTTTCTCAAGATTTAAGATAAAGCACTCAACCAGAAACTGGGCCTGTATTAATAAAGTTGTTTCTAAGACCTATAAAGAAAGAATGAGGCCTATCTGAATTAGTATGGTAGTGCAGAAATGGAATGGAAAAGATAGGCGGAGAAAGCGACCAGCAGATTAATCTGACTATAGTTTCAGAGTAACTGAGTAGGAGGAGCAATATTCAGCTGTAACCCCAAAGCCTCAAATTTTAACCCTTACAGCACCAGGGTTAAGGAAAGAAGAATTCTGCAAAATACGAAATAAAAACTCTCAATTGTTCACCTCATTCCAAGAAGGTATTTTCCAGGAAAGGAAGGGTGCATACAAGCCCTGACGCCACTTCCCTGTGTGTTCGAGGTGTGTAAATACAAGCCACTTACCTCACACATCTAACTTTCTGTCTTGTCCAAGGAACAGAGGAGAGGATATCACTCTTGGTTCTTGTTAAGGCTTATGTCTTAACTTGATACATGACTTACATGTGTAAACTTCCCCCCTAACATTTATCTTTCCCATGCGCATGTCATAGAAGTCCATACCAAAACAGCAGCCAAACAAACAAACAAACAAACAAACACTGAATTAAAGGGGCTGGAGGGAGGGCTCAGAGGTTAAGAGCACTGGCTGCTCTTTCAGAGGACCCGGGTTCAATTCTCAACACCCACATGGCAGTTCACAACTATCTATAACTCCTGCACCAGGAGATCCGACACCCTCATACAGACATGCACAATCAAAACACCAATGTATATAAATAAATAACAACAAACTGGATTAGAGCAGATATCAGTTAGATTTCATATTTTAAAATTAAATCCTGCTCCATCTAAACCGTTATAGATAGAACACGTAAAAGAGCTCTCTAGATGATAGATGGGAATTTAATCCACGTTCTTAGGTTTATTTTGGACATTTAAAATACTGGCTCTCTAAGAGTGATTCAACTTGAAATAAGATTGCCGCACTTGGTGTAAGTATAGATCTTGGCTGAGTAGATGGCTCAGCAGTTAAGATGCCTTTTGCTTTTACCAAGGATCCAAGTTCAGTTCCCAGCACCTAAATGGACTGCTCATACCGAGCATCTGCACCTGTCACTGCAGCTCCAGGGGAACCCGGCCTTCACTTCTTGCCTCCTTGGGAACCTGCACTCAGGTGCTTCCTCAACACGTATAATTTAATAAATAAAAACAAACCAATACAGAACACTTAACTTTAAATTAATGCGGAGGAATGACGGATGTGGCCAACGATTGATGGATCTTCGTCAACTATAAAATCTGGCAGAGAATCAACATGCACCCCCTAATTCTATTTGAGTTCCATCTTTTCCCCTGTATAGAGAGTCATGGCCAGTGTTGTTGTCCAAGGTAAGATAAATTAGGACTCACCGTCATCCTGGTCTGTGAGGATGGTCACCTTGGCTCCTGGAAACTTGTCACCAATCCTCCCGCCCATGGGCATGCTCAAAAGGACCTGGAACGTCTCCTCCTCCTCATACAAGGAGTCATCAATTACCACTACACGACACATCTTCTCACGTTCATCTTTGTCAAAGCGGATCACGCTGCTGTGGTCCTCAGGCCTGGAGATGTAGTCGGAGTAAGACAGCACGGACGTCCGCACAGTGCTGGTCGCTGTCCCTAGGGGCCAAGAGAACCCAAAAGACTTCAGTGTTGCAACTGTTTCCAAAACCTGTTGTTTTCATATTCCATATCTAACTGTTGCAACTGCATAGGAAACATCCCAGAACTGCAGCTCCACCTTCAGAGTGTCCTTGTATCTCAGGTCTCCTTCAAATGACCTCGCACATGGCAAATCTTGGCTTTCTGGTGTTTTTCTCCTGCCTTTCCTCCAACAAGCTTTCAGATCAATACCACAGGGCAAAAATAATACCTCCCGCTGTTCAAATGTTTCCCAGGTCCAGGCCAAGGCCACATGCTTTCTGTGCTTGTCTCAGACCTTCTGTTTATCTGCTGGGTTTTAGGCTCTGGGGACGTGAGTCATTCAGAAGTCAACACATTATTTCCAGCAGCCTGGTCCTCCTTTCCATATCACATACATATTAATGGCAATTTTTCATGAAAGCCTGATATGGCAACAACAGCTTATGGGACCTCTTTTCTTTTCCACTGTTTTCTCTAGAAAATGGTTTGTTATGTTAACAACTTTTGTATATTAATCTTAAATTTGTCTTATGCAAATTCACCTCTCTCAGAATGCTCACATACAAGCAAAACAGCACTTTGAAATTTGTTCGCAATGATTATGAACTAGCATCACACTTCTAAATGCTCGTTTACTGTTCTTTAACATTGAGAGCATTTTGAAAATTGAGTTGAATGCTTACGGAAGGCTTAAAGCACTTCAAGAAAATATCTAAATCCACGGCTCTCTCCAGAGTTCACCAAATATCAACATGTTGGCTTAGTTATCTTGGCCATTTTAGCACTAATCATGTCAAAAATCATATGCTCAGAGGAAATCTATTGATTTCCAATGGAAATTTGCATATATGCCTCTCATGGTTGCTTAGCCATTCACACACACTTTCTTGTTTTCTCCATGAAGGCATGTTTAGAAAAGATTCAGAGAAACTTAGACCCATTTCCAATAAATAAGTTTGTCAATAATTCATTGGCCTGTTTTCAATTGATAATGCTTTGTCTCTAATTCATTTCCTATATGGCCTTCTGCTTAATAAAGTTCTGCAATCACAAATAAAAGGTACAAAAGTCTCAATTTTGGCTTTTCATTCAAGCCTACACTTTTTTTGTTTGTTTGTTTGTTTGGGTCTCATAGAACCTGATACCTGGTCTTTTTCCTAATAGACAACAGAGGAAAACTATTAGGACCCTGCTGCTACCAGTCAAAGCAGCTTTAAATTAGTGTCTCCTCCTCAGACATCCATTACTTCAGCCCTTTCTTTCTCTTTTTGATGTGCTGAGGACCAAACTCGCAGCCTTTGGCATTGCAGGGAAGCCACTGAGCAGCCTACTAAGGCAGTGACCTGTTAAGACAGCACAGGCTGTCTGCTAGGAGGCTGTACCAGACTCCACCTCTAAAAACCCTCTTAGGCTTGAAAAGTCTGGGTGAGCTTCAGTTCCCTGCAACCTTAAACTGGACTAAGTGACCAGTACTTGAGGGGAGAAGCACCAGTTTCCTGACAGACTGACTCAAAGGAGCTCCTAGAGACACCACTCTACAGCACAGTTCTTAGGGAATGCCTCAGTGTCGATGAAAAGCCACAACAAAGCCCGCCCTTCAGGCCCCAGTAGAGAGGCCGGTGGGCACACTAGAGGTTATTTCACTTGGCTCAGCGATGGCAGTACCTTGCTGAGTGTAGCAGATCACCATCAGCTCCTGGCTGATGTCTCCGCTTCTCCTGATGGGAATGAACAGCTCACCCACATCTTCCTCAACGGAGTACTCCGACTGGGGAATGAAGACGGTGGATTCTAAGAAGGAAACACAATTACAGTTGCCGCCATTTTTTGTTTTCTTGGTCTGAATTTCTTATCTCAGAAACTTAAAATTTCTCTAGTAGTTTTTTTTTTCCTTTTTCTTTTTTAGAATAACAGTGTTGGGGGAAGGGTGGGGGAGGGGAAAGGATGGGTATGCAAACCTCAGCATAGCTTCCATCTCCAGGCACTCCTTTCTTCTCAATACATACCACTGCATAGTTCTTTTCAAGCCTCCTCTTTCTGTTTGTTAAGGCATGGCATCTTCCCCGGTATAAACAGAACCGTGGTGGGGTTCATACAGTTGAACCTGGCTCCCAAGCCAACCGTTACTCAGGATTGGAACTCAGATCATGTAATGTCTACTCTATCCAATGGGCCTCCTTTTGGATGATTCATAATTAAAAGTGTAACAATATATTCTTCAACTGTTTTCAAATAACAGTTCATTTAGAGTTCCTAAGTGTCTTTATCAGCTATAAGAATACCTCTGTAGAGATTTTTTTCTTCCCTAGCAGGGTAGCAATTACTTGTGACATAAAAACTGTGTTTATATAACATTATAAATCTCAATGATTCATTTTCAATGGAGATGAAAGGTACATTAAGTAATATAAATAGCACAATTAAATTGTTAAAAATAGAGCCACTGTGTAAAAATTTTTACGATCATTTAGTTCAATCGTTTGGCATTATAAACCCAAAACAGATCCTGGTATTCTTCTGCAAGTCTGTTTCCCTGAAAGTCTTAACATCCACACAGAAACCGTTTCCTGATTATCTTTGAAACAGTAAGCATGGTTCTTCTATGGCTATAAAAGACTCTAGAATAGCCCACACAATGAAGACCCACAGTCCACCCTGCCCTGTGGCTGAGGGCATGAAGGATGAGAGCTTCTGCGGAGGTTTCCCTGATACTGAGGCTTCTGGGTGGGTCAGCCAGAGGAGAAGAGCCTGCAGGAAGGGGCTTCCGGGGCAAGAGGCAGAGATGACTCAGTGGTTAAGGGTTCAATTCCTAGCACCTATAAAGGGCAGCTCATACCATCTTGTAACTCCAGCTCCAGGGGATCTGATACCTGGCCTCCCTGAATACTACACACATATGCATGCACATACACAAAGGTATAGATACACATACATGAAAACCTGAAAATAGTTTAAGAGCCAATGAGTCCTGGAGTTCATTTTGTAACCCAGCAACTCTCAGATATTCGGAGGTATGTGCAACTCTCTTCTACCTACAGGTGGTACAGGCACTGGCCCTCACTGTCCTGGGGGCATTTCACATGCCTGGGTTTCAACCCTTCCTTGAGGAAATGCTTTTGAAATGAATATTTTTTTTCCAGTGTCATTTGTTTTCTTCCAAGACTCTCTCTAATACTAATACTAATTCTAATACTCTCTCTTTCATTTTTTGAAAAGTTCCATCTTATAAGTAATTATTTGTTCATTAAATTCTCATTTCAACTTGCCAGGTACTATGCTGGGCACCACAGATGTAGAAGTAAATGAAACCCTCATGGAGCTTCCTTTCTGTTGGGAGATTGTTAATAGGAAGAACATAATTAAAGTACGTAAGATACTGGAGGTGATGCATAGAAAGAAATCCAAGTGTCGGGAAGAGCCTGCTGGGTGGTGAATGATGCTTAGGAGAGTCACAGGAAGCATTCCTGTAAAACCCAGCTGGGCTGGGAAGGTGGTCATGAGAAGTCTACGTGAAGAGCAGAGAATCCCAGGCAAAGATATTACTTGCGAAAGGAGCCCAAGAGCAGAATGTGCTGGGAGTGGTGGCAGAACAGGTGGCGCAGTGTGTGCCAAGCACGGTGGGCGAGGGGCCCAGCAGGTCACGTGTGAGGCGGAAGAGGGGGAGATGGGATGGGTGTGCAGGTCACACAGACACCTGGGCTGCTGGGACCACCTGACCGGGATTGGCACTACCTACAAAGACTAGGCTCTCCCACACCAATCACACATCAAATACTGCACCCCAGGCTTGTGCACAAGTCAATCTGATGGGAATATTTCCTGTGATGAGGAGCCCTCTTCCCACAGAACTCTGGCTGGCGTTAAGTTGACAAAATACTACCTAGAATAGTTGGCACACAATCTACATCTCCCGCCCTTCACCTGTGTTTAGCTAGAATCTGAAATCAGGCAAAGGAATGGGAACATGTAATGGTAGGAAAGAAAGGATGGCTTAGGTGTGCCCTGATGGAAGGCTGATGCATGGGGAAACTGTAGCATGCAAGCAAGAAGGAGGACATCCTACAGGACTGTGCACATCCGGGTTTTTCAGACCCAGAATTAGAATTAAGGACAACTATTAGGGAAGATGTCAGCTCAAGTGCTGAGCATTTTGGGTTTCTGCTGTAGGACCTTTTGGCTCTCTGGTTGCTATAGAGAGTAGGTCACAACTTTTAACACATAGTCTAGTCCTGTTTGCACATCCAGTATCTGCAGATGGATTCCTTACAAGGCATTGGACCCGGGTGACGGTGCTGTACTCTGATGTGTTTTATGAACTTAAGTTTCAGCCACTTTGTGATAGACATGAAGTAGTAGGAGGAGTTGAAACAAAGCCCCTGGTTTTAAGACTTTGTACCCATCCAGGCAGGAGATGATGGATGGCAAGGCCCAGGAAGTAACAACAGCTGATACAGTGTGGATGTGAACTGGATGTATCATAAGCAGAGACTCACAAGTTTTCTGATGAAATGGTACAGGGAAGAACCCGGGGAACCCAGGACGACTCAAGCTGTAACCTTGGTCAGTCTTTTACAGATAAAGTTGCTGTTTGTAAAAAGGGCGGGACACTCTATGGCCAGATTTGAGAAACCTAGGGTTACATTTGGGGTATGCTAAAATTGAGGTTGGAAAACTCTAAGTTGCCCTTTGAGTGCATGATCTTGGATTTCAGCGGAGAGGTCAGACTGGAAAAATTCAGGTGTAAGATACGTGCAGCCACCGGCCAGAGTAGGGTCACGGCTGGAGGGACTGAAGGCGAAGGCAAGGGACCAGAGATAAAAAGACTAAACTGGAGGCTGAGAAGAGCCAAGATGCACTGCATGTGCCAAAAAGAAGGGAGGGAGCAACTGTTCCACACAGAGCCAAGGCATCTAGTAGGTGGAGAACTGAGGCCATACTCAAAGGGAAGGCTCTAGAATTTGGCTATCTTCACCAGCACTCTGTGCAGAGTACAAGGCAGCATCCTGAAGGAGCAGCTCACACAGGAGGAGGGTGTTGCCCTATCGGATCCTGCTCTAGAGGGCATCCAAGTGGCAAACTGAGGAAACTGCTTGGCTGGTTTTTATTGTTTTGTTTTTAAGTACAAAGCTGGGTGTGGTGATGCACACCTTTATTTTTTTTAAAGCTTTATTTACTTACTTACTTACTTACTTATTTATTTATTTATTATGTATACAGTGCTTATTTATTTATTTATTTATTTATTTATTTATTTATTTATTTATTATGTATACAGTGTTCTGCCTGCACATACACCTGCACACCAGAAGAGGGCACCAGATCTCATCATAGATGGCAGTGAGCCACCATGTGGATGCTGGGAATTGAACTCAGGACCTTTGGAAGAGCAGCCAGTGCTCTTAACCTCTGAGCCACCTCTCCAGCCCTGCTAGTTGGTTTTTAAGGCAAGTTTTTACAATGGTTATATTTGCAGCTACAATTATCAAGTACGATTTTACCAAATACAAAATTTTAGCGTAAGCATCATCACGATTTTAGTGTAAAATTAAATAAAGTGCCAGGGAACATTAAAATATCCAGTGACTCTCAGAAACCCCTTTCCAAGAACTCATGGGAGTCTGACTTTTTTTTAAAGATTTTTCTTTCTCTCTCCCTTCCTCCCTTCCTTCCTTTCTTTTGTGTAGATGAGTGCTCTACCTGCATGTACACCTGTGAGCCAGAAGAGGGCATCAGATCCCTGCATAGATGGTTGGGAGCCACCATGTGGTTGCTGAGAATTGAACTCAGGTCCTCTGGAAGAGCAGACAAGTGCTCTTCACTACTGAGCCATCTCTCCAGCCCCCTTCAAGACTGACTTTAAGACTTCATGCCACATTCTCTGTGGCCTTTATATGAAATATTAGCAAAAGTTTGTCACGTGCTAATGCTTTTGTCCCTCTAAACTCCTATGTTGAGTGTGATGGTGGAGGAGGTGGGCCTTGGAGAAGCAAGTAGATTTAGGGAAGGTCATGAGTGTGGAGGCCCGATAAGGATCGATGTTCTCATAAAAGCCATGCAAAGCTCTCTCTTCACCCACAGACAAGGGATGCTGGGTGATGCCTTGAGGACACACCCGGGAGGTGAATGTCTGTAAGCCTGAGGACCCTCATCAAGATCCAGGTATACTAGCCCAAGCTTGGTCTGCTTGTTTGTTTTAGCATTGCTGGAGATGGAGTCAGGGTCTCAAACATACTAGGCAATCCCTCCAGACCTGCACCTTGAGCTCAGAGTCTTAATTCTCCACAACTGTGAGGAACAGATAGACATTATTACCTGTTTTATGAAAGTCACCCAATCTGTGATATTTTGTTACAAAAGCCAGAGCTGATTAAACCTGGCTTAATCACACATAACATTCCTTATACACTGCAAACTGTCTTGCCCAGTTTTGTTTTCAAGTATGTTCTGGGGGACATTGGGTTTTAATTAAGCTGCCCCTCTAGGATTTAAGCCTGGAGAACTTAAGGTTTGGTTCCTTCAGCAACCTGTGACCCATGCACTTTGGATTATGTAAGTCAGGACTTCTCCCCAGTGGCTGTGGGCTTGAACCACAAAGAGAGAAGAAAACTGGGTGTCCAGACAACGACCTCTGACCTGGAATTCACTCCCACATTTGATCTGACAGAGGGCGAATAGGCCCATATCAAATTCAGGTCTTTTGTTGACCTAACTTTTTAACAGAAGTATGTGACCTGTGGGAGAAGCTATAAAAGGGTATCAGAGAGAGAATGAATGATTTTTACGGTTGGCGT